CCTTTGGCTGCTTCTGCCGCTGCCAGCAGTTTCTCCCTCCAATCTAACCATTGGGTGATGCCTTTTCATATGCAGCCCTGTGGTAGCCTCAGCCCTGTGGTAGCCAGATGCCTCAAGTCCTTTCCCTTGCTGACTTTCCCACAGCAATGATTGCAGACTGCTGGCTAAAGCAGGATGGACCTGAAATAGCCCCACAGGTGTGACTTCATCCTTTTCACCACAACAGTAGTTGTGATCGTAGATGTTGTTGTGGGGCGAGGGGAGCAGAGGGTTGATGGTGCAGTCTCAGAGGGAGACCCTGGGAGGGAAAGAGGTAGTCAAAATAAGAGCTAGAATATTAGACTCCAAAAGGGTTACAGCTTGCTTCTTATAAGGCTAAACCCAAATTAACTTCAAATTATTTCTCAGTCAGTCAGTGAACTTTGCTTTGCAAGAATGGCCCCTATGGTGCCCAGTGCCCAGTGTGTGAGGGGCAGTCAAGTCCACAACAACAAGTCCAAAAGGGCTGTAGCTTGCTTGCTTTCTTGTTATAAGGCTAAACTCAGATTAATTTCAAATTATTTCCCAGTCACTCAGCTTCACAGCTTGGACTTTGGAGCAGTAATTTCCAAGTAAGTTCTAATGTTAAACTCTAGGTAATATATTGGCTTGGTGCTGCTGTAAGCTGAGACAGTGAGACACTGATAACTGGCCAGTGCCAGTATGGTGCAGCAGCTCAATATGAATTTCAGGATTGCTTTTTGCTTGCTGGAAATAATTTCAATTTGTATGCCAAAAAATGGAACAGGCTGGCAGCAGCAAGCACTTTTTCAGCACCCAGACTGTGGGCATGGGGCAGCTAGATAGCTGTTAATGCTATAAAATTAAACACAAAATATTTTCAAAGTACCAGCCACTAGCCCCTTTGTGCAAGAGCCACCAGCCAGCCAGCAGAACTGCAGCCCAGCATGCAGCCCCTGAGCCCACAGCCACTCTTCTTTCTTTCTTCATCCAAGATGATGATCTCTATCTCTGTCCTGTCTCACTTGACTCCCTTCCTCCTTCCTTCTTCAATGTGCCCCCCCCCCCCCCCTCTGTGTACTCTGCCTGCCTGGCCTGCCTTCCTCCCTCGAGCTCTCACTGCCCTCCTCCCGTGATTTCTTCCAGATTGCGAATGAACCCTGCTCTGGCACACTCTGGAATTTAAAGCCAAAATGGTAGCCGCTCCCCCTCCCTCCTCTGTCAGCCCTGATTGGCAGAGAGGCATGCCAACAGTTTGGCTTCACCTCTCAGAAGGACTTGGTTGACCTGTGAATTTTAACTATATCACAGGGGCCTTATGAAAAAATTAAAACTAAAGGCATCTTAAGGTTCAGTTTCTTCATTTTGTCAATGATCATGCGTGCATGTTGGATATCACATCATAAGTAGGAAAATAATGAAATTGATCCAACCTATAACTGGATACAACATTTTTGCTCAAGCCTAGTAATTAGATGCTTGGGTAAGATTCATGTGAGTCCCCCTTGGGGTGAGAAAAGCGGTATACAAATACTGTAATAATAATAATAATAATAATAATAATAATAATAATAATATGAAAATAGTCCATGTGGTCTTAAAATTCTAAAACATTGTGATGCTGTCAGAAACAGGATGTCTGCCTTACTGGTTGAACCATTCATCTTAGTGCAGTATTTAGGGATTTATGGTATTAATAATTAGTATTCATTCATTTGTACTATCTAAAATTATTCCTTGTTTTTGTTATGCCAGTGGCAGTATTCTTCAGAAATCTTTTGTTTGTCTATGGAGATTTGACATAACTTTGTTTGTTTAACAATTTAATGTCCTAAAGTGACTCTTTACATATGACTTACGGAAATTTATATTTATGTGAAGTCAGTGACTGAATAATTATTCAGCTATCTGAATACTATTCTTGTAGGTTTTCAGTAAAACTTTAAAAAAAACCTAAGGAAGATTAACATGAACGGATCATTTTATATGCTTACTTTGATTCTTTTTGATAGGCTTTGTTATTTTTCTGCTTTTTTGTAGGCAGTTTATTGGAGATAATTTGTGAATCTCCACATCCCTGTGAACTCCTCATTTCAGAATTTATTTTCAGTCGAGTGCTTGACTATCATTCTTTTGAAAGACCTTCTCTTTCTTCTGAGTAAATTATTTAGAAAAAACCAAAATTAAATTGCTTCCTTAGTATTTTGTTTCTTGATGCTGGCTACTTATGTAGCTGTCATTGAGATGTTATCTGATTGCTAGTGAAAAAGGAAGGCATCATTCATGATTTCTTTACAAAGCTGGTCCAGGTAATCTCTTTTGTGCACCTAAGTATGTGGAAAATGCCTTCCAGCTATATGTTGATCCCAGATGGATGAATGCATGTTCAATTCTGCAAGGGCACCTCTGCTGTAATTTATCATTCTGTTCTTTTTAAGTCTCCCGAGAAAAAAGCTATATATAAAATGTGCTAAATTTGTAATGGCTTGGGACAGATTCAGATCACTAAATATAGTCTGTTATTTATGACTTGAGCCTACATGAAGCAAACTGTCAGTGTAGCATACTAATAGTATAGACTTCAATGCACCAACTTAGATGTATTTTCCCATGGCACTACTATATGATGGTGGTGGGATTGTGTGCTCCTGTGAGGCAGGAGACTCTGCTACTGGTAACAGTGCCACTGGTAGGGTTTTCCATATCAGAAATCATTTTCTGTTGAGCAGCAATAGTAGTGGTGTGTGTGTGTAAGTTGACATTGGGTGAAGGATTTCTTGGAGACAACAACAGTATCACCATACATAGCACTTGTTAATACTGCACTGAAGGAGGAATAATACATCCACTTTTGATTGCACAACTTTCAAAAAGATCTACATATCCCACAATTTATAGGAAATTTAAAAAGTTTTTTTTTTTACTAATAAAAACAAATACTGTTCCTAAGCTTTTGCATTTCTACATGGTTCTCAAACCAGGTGAACTGGGGCAGGAGTACCCACAAGCCAGAAGGTAGGGCAAGGGAGGGGAATAAATGAGTCAGTCAGAGGTGAACAGGAATTAAAAAAGGCTTTTTTGTGGAAAAAAATGTAAAGTATTTTTGCAGGGGGAAGGAAAGTGAAGGACAGAGTACAGAAGCAAGATGATAGATAGGGCTGAGGAAGGATTGAAATTGAAATACTACTAGTTTTCTCCCTGTTGGGGACTCAAGGGAATCAGGCTATCCCTCCCTTATCACCCTCCTCCAAAAGGTAAAAATATTTAAACAAACACCTCCACCAAGTGTCTTTTCACAGCCCTCTCCAAACACACAGCCACCCTCACTTCTCTAACAAAATAATTTTTAAAGGGACTAAAAGTTATTAAACTAAGAAAATTTAATAAAATTGCCAAAGGAAAATAATGGAATTGAGTCAAACACATGATCCATTTTCTTGCTCTGACTGGCTCAGGAAAGCTAAGGGCGGAAAACACTTCTCATGGGCGCGCATAGCTGCTGTCATGAAAGCAGGTGATTTCAGCCATCACATGATCCATTTTGGCCGAGTCAATTCAAGCCCTGTCGCTCGTTCTGTTTCCAAAGTTTCAGTTTTTAAAACAGCTGGAATTCCTGGATCTTGTTTTGAAAAACAGTACTAATGCACACCCCTATTTATTATTGTGGCAGCAGACACAGAGCTCCAGAGACTCCTAACTATCATAGTGCTCCTTTGCTGAAGTTAGCAAAGAGAAAGTGTCTTGGAAATAGTAGGAGGGAAAGGAAAAGGCAAACAATGGCCAAGCTAACATCTTTTCCCCTGTGCTATGAAGTGAAGGGAAAAAAAGGATGGTGGCTTGTACTGTGTGGATAGTAGAATCAGTTCCAGTTAGAATCAGGCCAACTGTTCACACTAACATCAAAGTGTGGTGCTGCTCCAGAGTTTCAGGGAATCTCTAGAGCATACCCCAACTTATGCTAATGTAGGGTAAAATCGGGTTAATTGGTTTTACCCTGTGTAGGGGCTGGAAGTCTCTGAATGTCATCCTAATGTCCAGGAGTGACTACTGGCTTGATTTTAGGTATGTGACTTGACATCTGGTGGGGATGTGAGAGTCTGAGATTCCCTTCTTAAGAATGGCTCTTAGCCTACTGTCCTTCTACTCAATTGCAAATATCTTTTTGGTGAGCTTTCAACCATTAAGTGATTGTTTAAAGGAAATAACTTTTAATAACTTAGATTGTACTGTTTTTTAAAAATTGATTTGTTTCAATTGGTTTAGAATTTAAATCATTTTAATATTATGAATAGCTTCATTGCTTTTTAACCATTCATTTTAAATATTTTTACATGTACTTCTTCAACCAAGCTGTGTTTCAGCTTTGCAATATGTCTCAAGTCCCATTTTTTTGTTCTTAGGGGGAGAAAGGCAACGTAGAATCAAAATAAGCAATTAAATTAATAAATTCGTTTTCTGTTAATTTTAAAGTAAAATGGCCTATACAACATAGAGGAGATAATGACACTGGCACAGTAGAACCGTTGTGTACAGAATTTAAAATGGGTAGAATTCAAAGACATGTCCATGTTAGTCTGGAATAGCAGTATGCAAAAGGATAATTTAAAGTGCTTGTACTACAGAGCACTTTGGGAGGGGAATCAGTACTGCTTGTGAAGTGAGAGGCCTTGTGTTTATATAGCTAGAGTTATGGGTAGCCAATGTAGGGGTTTTAGTGTTGGACTAGGGTACCTGGAGACAGAGTTTGAATCCCTGCTTGAACATGGAAAACCATTGGGCAAGTCACACTTTCTCATCCTCAGAGCAGAATATGGTAACCCTTTCTTGAAGAAATTCTGTTCACCTTAGGGTGTCAAGATGTCTGAAATAGCTTGGAAACACACAACAACAAATCCAAAATTATGTTTGAGGACCCTGGATGGTATATCTTCTTTAGTTTGGAACATCTTGTTTTGTGTTGAGTTTTGTGTTTCTAACTTTTCTCATAAACATTTTTACAGGCATCATGGGGAGGCTCGGCATTGCTAAGCAGGAAGCACTGTAAGCTTCTACATGGCATCCACAGGTATGCAAAATTTAATTTGTAAAGTATAAGAATTTTAAAATCAACGGTAAGCATTTTTAAAGTTTCAGTGAGAACACCAGCTTTTACACTCATGTATGCCAGTGGCATTTTGCTTTAGCTAGATTGTCTCCCATGAATGTTGCCATTCCTATTAAAGTCTTTAAAATAGGACTAGCAAATTTGGAAATAAACTGAAAAACATTTTAAATTGAGGGTGATGAATCTCCAGATATTTTGGGCTGTAGCTTCCATTGTATTTTACGATGGACTGGAGCTTGCCATATAAAAATTATCTCATGTTTGCTTTGAATTATTATATGAGTATTAAATATTACAGAGTTCTCGTTACAAGTAGAATTCTGTTTTCTTCCAGGGCCAACTCTGTTGCATGGAATCCTCATAAGATGCTTATGGCAGGGATCCAGTGCTGTGCCCTTCTGGTGAAAGACAGTTCAGTAAGTCATTCTTTCAATTTTTCAAGTATGACAAGGATCCACTTCTCATAAATACTGAAAAAAGCAGAAAATAACTTCTAGTAGCTTCCTTGTGTGATTTTTTTAAGAATTAAAAGCATGAAATTGCAGGAAATGTAGACGGTATGTCAGGTGCTGACAGGAGTTAAAATAAATGTGATCTTGCTGTTATTTCTGCATATGATCCTCACTTCCCACTCTTAAATACATGTATTTTGATATTTGCAATATTTATTGTTTCATTTTCATGTCGGTTTATTTACATGTAAGAGGGGGAAACTGCTCTTTCAGAATGATATTTTGAATAAGAATAGGTCTCTTGTGTAAATCAAAAACCAGTGGGAAAGGGGTTTTTTTATATATAGAATAAGGCTTATTCCTTTGTTTGGTTGTTATAAGTTGTGAATTGACTTTTAATAGATAAAACATCAGTGGTATTTAATGGCTTTGGGAATTAACCATGTCTTAAAATGATTCGATAGAAATATTAATTAAATGAAGTTGTAAAGGGTGACTTCTCACATAGAGCGGAAACACCCGGTAGCTATATCATAATTGTAGAAAGTATAAAAGAAATGAGTGGGTATGCATTACCCCTTGATCCCCTCTTTATCTCCTTAATTATGTTGAAGAATTTATTTCAGAAGAACATGAGATACTTAACATCATGGTTTGCTGCGATGCCTTTACTCTCTACCCTTTTCCTTTTTTTCCTCTGTTCAATGACTTACTATTTTCCCTTTGCCTTTTTTATCCCTACAGCATCCCCAATGTATTTAAATCCATCTCTTCATATGTGGTCATTTATTCATTTGGTTGTGTTGCTTTGTGGAATGCCACAAACACTGATAACAGTGATAGGACAATATTAACCAGCACTAAAAAGTACCTAATTTCAGTGGTAGTTGAAGTCAGGCATGTCGCCGGGGGGGGGGGGGGGGGGCTTGAGGGGCTTCAGCCCCCCCCCCCGAAATTCTCATGGTGGTTTTCCGAAAAGGCCTTACTGGTGCATTATTTAAACTGTTATGTTTATTCATATCATGATCTGATCACCATACTCAATATATCCCATATGCATGGGGGTATTGGGGAAATGATACAAAAGGTTTGCTAGGCTAGACCCTCACTCAGACTCACCCCCCCCCTGAAACTCAGCCCCCCCGAACCCCCCCTGAAAATTTTTTAGCCCACCCCCTCACCCCGAAACGAAATCCTGGCTACGGGCCTGGTTGAAGTGATTATATTGGATCCACACTGAGGGCACAATCTTAACTGCCATGACTCAATGCTATGGAATCATGAGAGCTGTAGTTTTACAAGTTCTGTAGCTAGTGCCTTTCCAAACAATCAGCATTCCACAGCATTGAGACATGGCAGTTAAAGTGATGTCAAACAGCATTGGTGTCAAACAGCATTAATTCTACAGTGTAGATACACATTGAGATACACACTGAGTGTAGGTACACATTGATTGTATATGCACATTGTGTAGATACACAATGTGTATCTTTGAGGAGACCCATTGAAGTTGATGGGGCTTAAGTCAGTCTTGATGGCAAGTCCTATATGTTGCTGTTTACTGTCACGAGAAATCTGCTTTCATTTAAGAGTTGGGTGCTATTTCTCTTTTCTTTCCACTTCAGTACAACTGAAAGCCAATTAGAATCAATTTCAGGATTTCAAATAGTTTTTGAGCTTTTGGAAATGCATATTAGTCAATATTTCTCCTAGCAGAATTAAATATTAGCTTTATCTGCATGTGCAAGTTGACGATTTTATACATTTTGTAGATACTTTCCCAGAGCTACAAGGCTAGGGAAACATGGGAACCTTTGATCTCATTGCATGTATTGTCAAAGGCTTTCATGGCCAGAATCACTGGCTTGTTGTAGGTTTTTTGGGTTGTATGGCCATGTTCTAGAAGAATTCTCTCCTGATGTTTCACCTGCATCTGTGGCAAGCATCCTCGAAGATTGTGAGGGTTTTTTTGGAAACTGGAAAATTGGGCTTATATATCTGTGGAAGGTCCAAGGTTGGAGAAAGAACTCTTGTCTGTTGGAGCTAGATGCAAATGTTTCAATTGGCCACCTTGATTAGCATTTGATGGCCTGACAGTTTTTAGGTGTGGCTTGTTACCGCCTGGTAAATTTCCTTGTTGAGAGGTGCTTCCTGGCTGGAGGTCCCCTGTGTTTGAGTTTTGTTTTTTATTTACTGTTATAATTTTAGAGGGTTTTTTATAATACTAGTAGTCAGATTTTGTTCATTTTCATGATTTCTTCCTTTCTGTTGGCATTGTCAACAGATCTCATTACAGTTGGCCTGCCACTTTTGACAGCCTTCACCTTGGGCAACTGACGTATTGCAGAATTGCAAGTAGTTGTGGTTTGACAACATGTGGAGGACCACAAATTGCCTGTCCTCAGACTAGAACGTACTGCAAGTCAGTCCCTCTCTTTGTACAAAAATAAGCTCCTTTGGGTGAAACATGTTTCTAGGTAAATGACTGTAGTCTAAATATATCGCTGAACAAAAGCATAACTGAAATAAACATGTCTTAAAATGTTGCAAGCTATGTTTGAATGCCATTGAGTTAACCAAGAGTAATATTCTCAGCTGGAGGAGGGGGCAAAGTGCTTTAAATTGATTGAAATGGGAAAGCATTTGGACTTACAGAGACAGTGAAACCTAGAGATTAGGGCATCCATTGTAAAAGCACAGATCAATCAAAGCAGTTGCTGGGTGTCCTCTGTGTTGACAAGAAGTACAGCTGAAGAGCACAATAGCTCCCACAATGCTCTATGAAAACAAGCCTTTCAAGTTTGAATTAAAGTGCCTGACAGTTTAGTTAGGAGATCAGTAAGCAAGTAGACTGGTATGCAGTTGTTATATATTGGCAGAAGTTGAAAAAAGTACTCTTTCACACTCCTAGACTCCTTCAAGTAATATGACCAATAGCCATATTGTGTGGTGTAATCTGGAAATTGTCCTTCAAAAAGTGACTTTTCCAAGTACTGCACATTTGTTGAACATTTTTCTAATATTCATCCCATTCACATAATTAGTTGGTATTTTTGTCAGTCCATTAGCTCTATGCATTCACAGGATACATGACATTTTATATTCATTTTTGGGAGGAATACAGGTTTGCCTCAACTAATGAAGTTGTTTATTTCTGGACTTTTCTTCTTTGACAGCAACTCTAATGTCAGAAGTCAAGCTTTATTGCACTATTTACTCCAGACACATGACTCCAACCCAATATTGAAAGTCTATCTCCAGTCTTCTTTCATCATCCTAATACCAGTGTTGCTAAAAAAAAAATAGAGCTAGGCAAAGACTGGGCAAAGAAATGATTTTTGTTAAAAGGAGCGTTTGTGAGAGGCTTTGTTAACCGAGGCAGTTTATTGCACTCATGATTATTTCCAGGCATCATAATGAATGGTGGCAGTCACTATTTGTGTGAGCATCAAGTAGTCCACTGGATCCATCAGGCTTTGACTTTCATGGTAATGCATCAAAATACATCCATATATATAGTTATGTATTTTGATGCATTACCATGAAAGTCAAAGCCTGATGGATCCAACAGGCTACTTGATGCTTGCACAGATTTATATATCTCAGCCCTAAAAGACATAACACATGAGAAGTACAGGGTGATAGAAATCTTAGTAGGAAATCTGTGCCTCAGTAACCGAAGCACATGTTCTTTGTGACCATAACTTCATTCAAATGGTGGAAACATTTAAACCACAACTCTGCATAATTTGGCTTACTTACAAGATTCCCCCTTTAAAGATGAGAATTTAGTTTTTTCAGTCACAGAGAGGTAGATGTAGTGAAATATGTTAGCACACATTAAAGTAATGCAAAGTAGATAGCAATAGCTGTGGGAAGAAAACAAGGGGCCATGCAATGGAACTCAGATTAACCCCAAATACTCTTTTTTTTCATGTCAGGAGTGACTTGAGAAAGTTCTGGTGTGAGAGAATTGACTGTCTGCAAGTACGTTGCCTAGGGGATGCCCAGATGTTTTGATGTTTTACCATCCTTGTGGGAGGCTTCTCTCGTGTCCCCGCATGGGGAGCTGGAGCTGACAGAGGGAGCTCATCCACTCTCCCTGGATTCGAACCTGTGACTTATCGGTCTTCAGTCCAAATATGTGAAAGGATAATAGAAGCACTTGTCAGTTTAGACAAACATCTAGATTTTAGATGTAACCACCACACACTGTGCTTGGACCTCAGTGATTGGTGAGAGACCTTCCTTCCATATTCCTACAGTCATTGCTGTGAGACAAGAGAATCCTGTATCTACGAAACTTAATCTGCTGTTCCCTCATGGCTGTCTCATTTCCTTGTGTCTTGTCTTAGATGGTAAACATGAGGGCAGGTATCGGTGGAGTTAACTATTTTTAAGATGCTCTGGGAGACTTTTACTGAAGAGGAGTGTATAAATGCTGTAAATGAGGAAATAATATTGGACATTATAACAATAAAGGTAGTGATTATGCTGATTGGTTAGACAAAGAATTCATTCCTGGGTTCCCCCACACTTTCCTTAAATTGAGTACAGGCAGTCCCCAGGTTGCAAACAAGATTCTAAAGTCAAATTTGTATGCAAGCCAGAACACGCATATTTTTAAGTGTTATTCCAGCCATTTTTTTTAGTTTTGCATAGCATAAGGAAGCATTAACACCCCTGAAATTATTTATTTACCTTATTTATATCCCGCCTTTCTCTACCCCAAGGGAGACTCAAGACAGCTTACATGTGGCACCTTAGTGCCTTAAAACATACAATGTTAAGTTAAAACTAAATTGGATTAAAATTAATACATAGTAAACATAATGAAAATACATTTCAATATTGAAACATGCTATCCAGGGATCAGAGTCTAAGGCCATTCTGTAGTCAATTGCACATATTCCACATTAAAAATACTGCACTGCATTATTTTTCAAAGGCCTGCTCCCAGAGCC